GCCAATTTACATCATTCTGTAGGAAGAACTCTCTTTCATACCAAAAAAGTAATAAGTTGGCTAGTAGAGGGCTGGATGAAGTTCCCATTGGAACACCTTTAGATTGAATGTATATTTTGTTTTTAAAATTAATATAATTAAAGTTTAAGAAGGTTTCAAGTAATTTTTTTGCTGTTTTGTTATCTAATTTAAATGTTTTGTATTTGTTGTGAATAATTTGAATATGGAATGTTTTATCATTAATGAATTCATTTATTAAGCTGTGTATTTTATTATTAAGGTCTTCTAAACGTATGTTAGAGTAAAGATCTTCAAAATCAAATGTATGAATTGTATTGATCTTTTGTAGGTTATTTGTTAGGAAGTTAATGATTTTTTTATTAGAATCTATGAATTTATAATTATGTTTGTTAGTTATTTTATTTATTATGAATTGAAGTGTTGAAGCTAGTCTTAAATCTATGTTTTTTATGACTGAGTTTATTCCTGATGTGATTGTTCTAAATGAGATTGGTGTTTTATGTAATTAGGGAATAATATAAAATTTCGGTATGTTTGTGTGTTTGTTGTAATTAATGATTTTTAGTGTGTTTTCTACATTTTTAATATCTTTTTTGATTTTAGTTTCAGTTGTTTTTATGAAAGTGTATTTACTGTTGTTATTAATTTCATTTTTTAGAAGGGCATGGTATAAGTTTTTACATATAATAGATAAACTATTTGAACATTTATCTATTGGACATATGATAAAATCCTTTTGTAAGTTTTCAAAATTGTCTTTTAAGGAATTAATTCCCGATTCATTAGGGTTTGTGTATTTTAGTGTGTTGTTATAATAGTTTATTATTTCTTTACTTAATTTATATTTCCATTCTAGGAAAGTAAATTCAGGAATTCTGTGTTTTATACTATTTTATTAATGAATATATCGATGTCTTTTAATATAGATTTAATTGTATTATTGAAATTGTGTTTGATCTGGGGTATATATTTATATCCTCTATTTAAAATGTTTTGGAGTTTTGGTTCCAAAAAAGAATAATCGCTAGTTAAAATATGTCCTGTGAATTTATATTTATCTAGAACATTGTGGCAATTACATTTAGATTTTTTAAAATTTGTTAGATTATTAATAAACGGGTTATAATTGCATAATATACTGCCTATATTCTTGTTATATTTCCAGGTAGTTTTAAAATTTAAACCTTTTATAGGAAATAAACTGTTAATAGATTGGTCATTAAATATATCATTAAATTTGAAATGATCAAATAATTTGTTATTGAATTTAATAATAATGTTAATTTGGTTATTCTTTTGTTTAATTTTTCTGTATTTGAAGATGTCGTTTGTGATATCTGTTAATCTATTACAAAGATTGTGAATTTTAATGTGTTCTACAAGTTTTATAAGTTTGCTATTATTTAATTTGAATAATGTTTTAATAAAATTTTCAATTAAATTTTTTGCGTACATTTTGTTTGTGTCTAATAAGTTATTAAAGTTTATGAAGCCTAATTTGTTGGTAGTTTTACCTCTGGTTTTGACTGAGTTATTATTAGAGTTATGTTTTTTTGTATTTATTACTAATTTCATAGATTGATATTTCAGATGGTTGTGGTGTGTATGTATGGTTAAGTTCGTCGTTAAGTTCATAAGGGTATAAAGTGTTGTGTTGATAAATGTAATTGTTTTCTAATAATAATCGTTGTTTTTTGTCTTGACAAATGTCAAGTATTTCTATCATGTAATTGTTAAAGGTATGTATTTTATTGTGTTGTTTCATGTATGTGTTACCAATTGATTTTTTGGAGTGGTTTCTATGTAAATTTATTCTTATGTTTAAAGGATTGCAAGTTTGTCCTATATATGAAAGTTGACAAGTTTGGCAAGTTAATTTATAAATAGTGTTTTCTATCTTACAACTAGGTGTTTGAAATGTGTCATGGTTCTTGAAAGTTGGGCAAGTTTGACATTTCTTATTTAAACAATTTTTAGCGAGTTTAGAGAACATAGAAGGGGTGCTAACCCAAAAATGTTTGTAGTTTTTTTTAAAGTTTTTTAATTTGACTTCCAGTTACTGTGGGAGGGAACTGGAAAACAAATATAAATGAATTTGAAGCATAATAAATGTTTTATTATTCAATTAATTTATAATTTTAATAAAAATGTAACTTATATCAATGGAAACAAAATTTTAATACATATTTTTACAATCTTTAAAATTTCTAATGATTCTTTTCTGACAGCTTTTCTAACTTCAAACAATTTTAAAAATAAGATTTCCTAGAAGAGGGAAGGTTACTTTTAGAACAATGTCGGCGGGTCCCTGGCAGACAGATGTTACATCCACACATGTGCGCTGTCTCTAAGGAGCGGCAGACGCCACTTTGAATAAGTAAGTAAACAACCTCCTTCTATGTTATCTAATATTAATTTAATTATACAGTTTAATGGTCGAAGAGAAATAAATCCATAATGAAGTAAGGGTGAAATGGGATGTGGTATTTTCATCTGAAGAGCCCTGGTACCACAGATTTCTCTCTCCAATAGATTTTCCAATCTCCTTTTGTGTAATGTCCTGGTCTACCATTAGGGTTCCAAAAAATAATTTTTAATAAGCAGATTTAAAATATGTTTATCTATCCTTAACTAGGCAAAAACATTATATCATATTATTCTTACTCTTAGGAAAAAAAAAATCTAAAATTATATAGGAAAAAAAAATTATATAAAAAAAATTACAAAAACTATTAATTAACTAAAAAAATACTAACACCCTTTCAATTCTCTACCTGTTTGAAATAAAAGTGTATGGTTCTTTCTTTATCTCTTTCCTCTCTTTTACTAAAAAATAAATATATAATCATTATAAATCTCTTCTTTATTCCTATTTATTTTAAGAGTATGTCTAAATGACGGGTAAAAGCCGATGCTAAAGGACGTTACTTTGTTAAATCTTCTTTTCTTGTTAAATTTTCTTTTTATTTTTCAAAATTTTTTTTCTATCTAAAATAAAAACATATTAATCTAACATATAATTACTTTTATTACATTTTTCTCTCCTAAATAAGATATAAATATAATACATATAAACAACTTTTTAATCTCATCTAACTTAAACACAAAAATAATTATCAACTTTTATCTTATATATATATATATGAAAAAAATAGTACAAATGTAACATTGTACTGGGATAAGGTGCATAAATTAAGAAAAAAAAAGGCATCTCCTTATCGTGCAACTGAAAGTTGCTGTGGCTGGCGCCATCTATCGGAATAAATATCAACTATTCTCGTTGATTTTTAATTATTCCAGAATTGGCCAAATACCCATTCTTGATTAATCAAGAAAAGCTAACCACGGACGCGTTTCGGGCTGTTGGCCCTCATCAGCGTGGTGCAAGCTGTACCTCAACGACCAAAAATTTGGTCATTAAGGCATCCTGAAAAATCATGAAACGGGTAGTTAAGGCCAGAATTGCGTGAGGACGCTACACAATGTGAAAAAAATAGTACAAATGTAACATTGTACTGGGATAAGGTGCATAAATTAAGAAAAAGGCATCTCCTTATCATCTATATATATATAGATGATCTGGCTTTGTGTCTTCTACTCGAATGAATGTTTTCTGTTAGAATTTTGTTTCTGCATACTAAAGGTGAACTCGCTTCACACGTGGTCTCTGCTCTTTTGGAATTTTCTCCCTATATAATTTTGTATCTGATTATCAAACATGATACAGCAATATTTTCATTATCATTTTCTGACTAAAAAACAACTATTTTTCCCTAGAACCTGTCAATTTCAAATTTTCTTGACTAAAAATGCGACAATGCTGGAGGTTGCGAAAGGATTTTTTTCATTAAATGTTCAAGACATGGAAGGAATTAGAAATCCAAATATTCAGATTCCTATCTAAAACGTCCTTGGAATTACAAGCAAATAAATGAAAAAAGCCAACAAATATATTAATTTTATCTGTTATAATTTAGTCATCGTATTCCAATATCATCACGCATATATTTATATTCATTATATATATATATAGGTGTGTGTGTAACAATATACCACCATACATTTCACGACACCTTTTTAAATAGTTCCCCTTTTTCAATTAGTATGTTGTTACTTTTACTATTTAATCAATTGTTTGATTATAATTCAAATTTTATATGTACCAATTATCCCATAACAATAATCCACTGGGTGTCTCTAACTTTGTAATATAATTCAATATATTTAGGGTTCCCAAAAGCAAAGAGACGCAGTTCTGTTAGTAACGGATTTTGCTTACGTCACTTCTGACCTCCCACGAGGAATTGACCAATCTGCTGCGAGCAGGCTTGCAGCTATTTAAGGCCAACCTCGTCTCAGTGATAAGGCTTTTTTTTTGGACTGGCATATATACGACTAAAAATAGCGTGAATAATTAATTATAAAAAACACTTAAAAAAAAGCTTTTATTTAAAATGCACTAAAAATAACAAAATGAATATTTCTGAAGTATTGCTTTTTTTTCTGAAGGTACCATTTAACAAATAAAATAATAGACTCAGAAATAAAAGCGGTGGGTACAATAATGATAAATTTGAGATCAATGTGATTTTATATGAAGCAAATGATTAGCAAGATTATGCCTTTTTTTAAATGTATACCTATTTGCTTCATAAATGATTATCATCCCCCACCGCTTTTATTTCTAAGTCTATTATTTTATTTGTTAAATGGTACCTTCAGATAAAAAAAGCAATACTTCAGAAATATATTTTTTGTTATTTTTAGTATATTTCAAATAAAGCTTTTTTTAAAAGTGTTTTTATAATTAATTAAATAGAAATTTATTATTTTAATCAACAGAATAGTAATTCAATATTTTGTTGCCCTGAATATTAGTCTTGTTTCTTCTCTGATCTTTTATGTGCGTAAGAGATGTACCTGTTTTTATTTTTAAAATGTTATTTTTTCATATCACCTTTATTTTTCCATGTGATGTCGTCGGTAGCGGGGTCGGGTGGTCTAAGGCGCTGGTTTTAGGCACGAGTCTCAAAGAAGCGTGGGTTCGAATCCCACCGCTGACAGTTTTTATTATTCTCTACGTGATTTTTAGATGGAGATGCTGGGCAGATTTAGGGTTACAAAACTGACGATTTCTAAGCAGACCTTGAGTGCTGTGCATTTTTCCAGACTGACTCCATGTCAAAGCCAACTTCTGACGACGTCACAAAAAAAAGCCACTCTTCACGCCGCAAGAGAAAGGAAATAAAGTTACTAAGGGCCAACTTTCAAGACGTTCAGGGAATCCTTGACTAAAGCATACTAGATCCATATTAGAAACAACGAATGTTACAAGCTGTGGGTCACGGTTGCTTAAGGAAAGGAGCTATTTAACCCAATATTTGTTAATTTTTTTCTATCAACGAAATATATTTTCAATATTTTGTTATTCTGCAAAATTTTCTCTATTTTCTCTCCCCTTTTACGTTCTTACGATTGAATTGTTTCGATCAAAATAAATTGTTTTCCCTTCCTCACGGTTGTATTTCCTAAATTTTCTATACGTGACAATATAAATATGTGTATGTGATGATTTAAGACCATGGAATTGTTGTAAATAATACAGATATCTACTACCACATATTTCACCACGTGACTGTATATAACTTGTTATTTACTGCATATAGAAAGCATCAAATAATATCAATCTGTGCCGCGTAAGACTCTAATAAAGTATAGCAACTGTACAGATAGAAGGAATGGAGAATAACAGGAGAAAATTAAGGCTAAAACTGATCAGGCCTAAGTGAGAATAAGAAAGTAGGCCTATCGAGCCCAGTCCAATTTTTACGAGGTTGTGGCCCTCCTGGATGATGTAACTCCCCCCCCCCTGTTTACGTCAGAAAAGGGCAGTGACCTGCCTGGACCCTGAAGCTATAAAAGGAGGCCCCAAGCCTCAGTTAGTTAGTTAGTTCTTTGTTTCAGTTCTCCGCGCAGGCCGCTTCTATAGAGGTAATCAATCCTTTCCTACCAGAAACCTCCTCGTCCCATTCCTTCTTGACGTTCAGACGCTTCTTAGTGGAATCTCTGTTTGTTTATTTCACCTTTGGCCCAGCTGTGTCGCCTTCCACCACGACTGCACGGTAGAGGTGACATCGAGGTTCGTCTAACATCAGGTAACACTGGTCCCAGAGGTCCCAAGATATCACATATATATTTAAAATAATGACTGCAGTTGGTTATATTCGGAATAAACTATTCAAAATAATCTCTTTTATTCGGAGGTAGTCCTGCTTATAACTTCAAATGCTTCATTAATCGGGTCATATTTTTATATTTTCAGCACCACCTATAAGGGCTAATCCTAATCCCTGATAAGATAAGGTATGTTTTAATCCCTCAAATAGATTCTAAGCCTTTAAGCGCCATAATAAATTGATGTCTACACAATGTGTTGTAAAACCCTAAGCAATAATTTCTAGCCCAAGAAATATTTAGCAGCGACCTTAAATTGATTCCTGTTACATTTAGAAAAATAAAAGTTGATCTGCTTACAAAACCTTCAATATAGGTTGAGAAGAATTTTGAGAAAAATAGATCGTAATAATTCTTATACAGACATTTTTATGTTGGCCACATATAGTTATATTACATATATGGTATTGGCACTAAGACAAGAGCATATGTGAAAATCAGTTTCAAATTTGAATTAAGTTTGACTCCCATACTTTATTTAATACTAGCGGACGTACCCGGCTTCGCCCGAGGTTTTACCCGAGTAAAGGTTTTTCTAACGAACATTTGTTAAAACAATTCTCTATAAACTTATAAAAAAATATATATTTTTTGATAATTTGAAACTCGTATATTTGAATCTCTCGATAAAGTGAACATTTTTTCCCGGCCCCTGTGTGCCGTGACATCCTGAATTTTGTCTTTCATAATTTTCTACATTACAAAATCATCGTTTTATCTACATATTTTCCCGGTCCCTTGAAAAATACTCGATAAGTTGAATAGAATCATGGTCGTTTATGGAAGATGGACGTAGTTCCCGGAGGTCACCCGCCCCCCGCGCGCCAGGACCTCTTGATCCCTCTGATTGGCCGGCGGCCGGACGGGGGTGGGGGGCTTTTGATCCCTCTGATTGGCCGGCGGCCGGACGGGGGGGGGGGGGGGGCTCTTGATCCCCCTGATTGGTAGGTGGGAACTTGGACTGTCCAACCAACTGGCCGGCGGCCGGACGGGGGGGGGGGGGGCAGACCTAAGCCTAAGCAAGGTGGCGCTGCTTGCGGGTTAAAGCTACAAATCTGCAAATAACTCTAAGGATATTAAAGATATTCAAGAAATTATTTTTCGTAAACCTTTCCGGAGATACACCTAATAATATCCCAAAATTTCACGGCGATTGGATGTATGGTTTTTGAATCCATAGAGGACACACAGACACACACACAGACATTGCAATTTTATATATATAGATATATCGTCTTGCACAATTATTTAAACGCATTTATATTTATTCGAATTTTATATTTAAACGATACTCAGTATTTCTTTTGATTATTATATATCATATATATCGTCTTGCACAATTATTCAAACTTTTTAAAATAAAGTACAATACTTAAAATAAAATATGTTTCATAAAGTACAATACTTAAAATAAATTATGTTTCTTATAAATCTAAAATTAGAAAATAAACTTTTAAATCGGTAACCTCAAGGAGATAGCACTAAAGCACTAATATTTGAATTAGTTTTACTTAATATATTAGCCCTGAAAGACCCAAGGTCATCAGGCGTGGACCAAAACCTAAGCCTATCTCGGTCTCAATGGTGGAGCTGCTTGCGAGTTAAAGCTACAAATCTGCAAATAACTCTAAGGATATTAAAGTACAATACTTAAAATAAAATATGTTTCATAAAGTACAATACTTAAAATAAATTATGTTTCTTATAAATCTAAAATTAGAAAATAAACTTTTAAATCGGTAACCTCAAGGAGATAGCACTAAAGCACTAATATTTGAATTAGTTTTACTTAATATATTAGCCCTGAAAGACCCAAGGTCATCAGGCGTGGACCAAAACCTAAGCCTATCTCGGTCTCAATGGTGGAGCTGCTTGCGAGTTAAAGCTACAAATCTGCAAATAACTCTAAGGATATTAAAGATATTCAAGAAATTATTTTTCGTAAACCTTTCCGGAGATACACCTAATAATATTCCAATATTTCACGGCGATTGGATGTATGGTTTTCGAATCCATAGAGGACACACAGACACACACACACACACTCGGGCGTGCGGCCACGCTTTCGCGAGCTCCGCCGTTTTCGCCTCTGGAGTGCGTGTAAATGTCGTTAGACATGCCAAAATTGGTACCGGCGGAGAGCCCAGGATCCGCTGATCTAGTGCCTGGAAGGCCCAGCGTCCTGTCCCAAACAGGTGAAGAGTTATCACCGAAAAACGGCTTTCAGAGAAAGATTTCTCTAGAAAACTCTGAAAATAAAGAAAATGCAAATTCGCCGGCAGGTGACTTGCATGCAAATTTGGCCGCCGCGCGTGGTGACGTCACGGCGCCGAAGACTGCTGCTACGACCAGCGCAACTTCAGCTAGCCCGGCCTCGCTCAACTGGGCCGACAGCGAGATGGCGGAGGTGGATGACAACGAGGGCTTCATCGTCGTGAAGGGCAAGAAGAGGCGCCTCGGCTCAACTTCACCTGAGCACGCTGCAAGGCAGCCCAACAAGCCTGGAAACCAGCGCAGCTCCCAGCAGCAGAAGCGGCCAACAGGGCCGAGAGCAGTGCCGCCCCAGGAAATCAAGGCGACGCGCGCCAACATCGCCGACGCCAGGGCGAGGCAGGCCTCTACCAACCACGAGTACTACGTCTTCGTGGAGCTGTGCCCAGACATCCCGGACTACTCCTACCTCAAGGCCATGAGCACGCTACTCGGGGGGCCAAGGAGCATCACGCAATTCCATCGAATGAACGGCCACTTCATCGTGGGTCTTGCGGACAAGAAACATGCGAACCATCTGGTCGCGGACGGCCTAGAAATCGAGGGAACGACCCTCAAGGTCTTCCCCTTCCGCAAGAGGACGGAGCGCATAGTCGTGGCCAACCTGCCCGGCTTTGTGGAGGACAGCACCATCGCGACCGCCCTGGGCCAGTTTGGGAGGGTCACCTCCATCGCCCCCATCCTGGTCAAAATGGGGGAGTTCACCTTCACCGACGGCCGCCGGGAGGCGTTCATCCTGCTCCACGAGGGCGTAAGGCTGGAGACGCTGCCCACCCGAATGACCATCCACTCCAAGGGAGACACCCTGTCGGCCTTCCTCTCCTTTGGAATCAAGTGTTCCAAGTGCGGCAAGCAGGGCCACCGCAGAGCCAACTGCCCAGCGCTCGCCAGGCAAGGGAACAGCAGCCCCAGGCAAGCAGCGTCTCCCACCGACGCAAGGCCCCCCCTCCCTCCTCCTCGGCGACCAAGGAAGCCGGCACCTGCGCCCGCAACACCGGCGAAGACTTCAACCGAGGCTCAGGCGATCCCCTCGGCGCCCCATCCTGCCGAACCGATGGATCTCGCCCAGCCCGCCCCTGCCGCCCTCCCTGCTCTCCTGGCTGCCCCGCGACCCCTCGAGCCTGGCATCCCTTCGCTCGACCACAAGATGGCGGTGGAGAAGATGACCTCACCTCCCTCCACGCCTGCCCGGGGAGAATCCGAACTCAAACAGCTGCTGAAGCACATCGAGGAGACCCCCACCCTTTCCATCGACTGGGACAAGCTGCCCGGCCTTAACTGCAAGGACGCACAGCAGCTCCTCACCTCTGAAACCACCATGAAGAGGATAGCGCCCACGCTGACAGAGGAACAGGTCGCCACCCTCAACAAGTTGCACGAAACCTTCAAGGCCTCGTGCCCAGATTCCAACTCCACCATCCGCAAGACCCTCCAGAAGACCAGGAAGTTCCTGCGAGGCCAACAGCGCCAATGAACTACCGCGTCGCCACCATCAACGCGCGAGGGCTCGCCACTCGGGGGAGGAGCCTTGCCCTTTGTCATCTCCTATGGCAACATC